CACCCCCTACTCCCACCCCCCACTCCCACCCCCCGAGCAAAGGAAATACTGGGAAGGGTTGATCCTTCTCAGGCTGTGAGGCTACGGTAATAAACTCCGGAGGAGAAAAAGCAGCGCAGGTGGGAACAAGAGCATCGTGGCCCTCTGAAAAGAGGACGCCTCGTCAGCGAAGAGCGAGGTCAGCCTTGAATGTTTCCATAAATTAAGCTTATCCTTTCTTTACTGCAGGTGGTTGCCACTTTTGTGACCCAATGAGTTCCGTATCCCAGCTGGAATTTTTTTATCACCCAAATGCTGAGGCTGTTTGCAAGGGATTTTTCCTGCCTCTTTGCCGTTGACGCGTTACTGAAAGAAGATGCTTTTCTTCTGGACAGGCTCTCGCCAAGCACTCCCCTTCCCGAGATCGGCTGCTGCGTCCCTTGCTCAGGGCAGGCCCTTCTCACCATTTGGAAGCACTGGCAGGATTTTCTTCTCTCTCTCTCTCTCTCTCTTTGTTTTTTGTTTTTCCTCTCTCCTTCCCTTTGCTAAATGTTTTTCTAACTCTTTGATTTATTATTGACAAGTTAAATTTTAGAAAAACAAAGCTGACTGTTCCCGGCACTGAGCTTTTGGCAAGACTCAGGCCTGTTTTGGATGGAGAACTGATTCTTGTTACATAAATTCTTGCAGGCAGGCAGGTGATCTCCCTTGCAAGCAGGGAAAAGTGTTTGGGGTTCAACATCAGCATTCACCTCTTCTTGCAGACCCCTGGCTCCTTTGGCACTCGCCCAAATCGATCCACCTGCCCCCCCCCCCCATCAGCGTCCTTACAGCAACTGGGACCGGCTCAGATATTGAACCAATTGCAGAGGAAATGAAATCCTCCCTTTGGCCTTTTAGATCTGAAGCCACGTTGGATCCTAGCGCTTTCTCCTTGGATGACAAGCCCCCCCCCCCATGTTATTTCATCAAGACTGGGGAGAATTCTATTTTCTCCCTCCTCTAATTCTTGGAAACTTGGGCATGTCTCAAGTTTTGTTGCAAAGGAAAAAGATTCCTTCCAAGTGTGCTGGGATCAAGACAATGTTCTGCTCAGATTGGGTCTCCAAAACCCAAGTTGCATCCGTCCCTATTTTAATATTTGGAACGGGGTCTAGATTGCCTGCCTCCTGGCTGCCAGGTCTCAGTTTGTGGTCTTCTTTCCTCACCCCTGTTTTTTTAATATCAGCTGGCCAGAGGAGGACTTGGTGTGAAAAGCTTGCACACACTCTCGTGACATTTTGGTTGACCTTCTTGTGAAGGGTTAGAAGTTGGCCCTAACCCAATTGAAAAGATATACTGTACTTCATTCTAGGACTATAAGCCTCTCTGTGGTTTGCTGCCAGGAATGTGCATTTTCCTCGCTTGCCTGCTTTTGTATTTAATTACTGATTAGCATAAGGAATTTAAGATGCTGTTTGGAGGGTTCATCACAAGGGAACCTAGTTCTGATCCAACACATTTGGGAGGAATCATTTTCCTTGCAAAAAGAATCCGAGTGGCTGTACGAACAGGCCTATGTTGTTTTCCAAGGAACAATACGGAAGCAATTTCCCATTGCTTCAGGGGCATCCACAGGACGTGGTCAAAAAAGTCAAGATAGCCATGATGATGCAATTGAAGCTCGGCTTGTTTTTTAATGTGTATTGCATGCATTAAAACATAGAAACAGGCAGAGCTTTGATTGCACCATTGCAGCTGCCCAGATCAGCTTCAAAAAACAGATTCCAGCTGTTTATTTTGCTTGTGTTTGGGGTCCAAGGATTCCATAACTTCAAGTGTCCTAAATATTCCAAGAGAAAGTCAGGTTTTCCCAAATTCTCAGCAACCCTCTTTGGGGAAAGACACGTGGGGAAGGAAGATGCCTCTTCTCGAGAAAGGGAGGCAGTCGGCGTGGAGAACAGTCTGCTCCACTCCTCATTCACAGCTGCTGTGTGTGTGTGTGCGTGTGTGCACACACACATCAAGCAAATGTCTGTTTACATATTTTCTCCTAGTGTTGGCACGGAGCATTCCCCAAATGAACACCTCCGGGGTCTATAATGTAACGCTTGGAGGGAATCGGGGGGGAACCGAGAGCCGGGTAGACAATAGGCGCACAGTGAACGCAGGGTTTATTTCGTCATCTTTGAAGGTGGATCCCGCTGGGCTGCCGATGAGGCGTGCAAGGAATAATTCCGTCCTGTAACATTTCTGTGGGCTTTTTTTCCATGGAAGGTATTGGCGCACTGCCGGGCTGTGAAGAGAGTAGGAGAGAGGAAATAGCAACTTGGGCTCTCGGTGTTTGCTGGCGAGTTGGATGGTCAGCGCCA